CTGTGTCAATTGCTACTTCGTATTACTTTGTCCTGTTTTTGTCTCTGTCTTGTCCATGGTCCTCAGTGTCTGGTGTTTGTTTTGTGTCTCAAAGGCTTTCCGTACAAGCTTTGCTTTTGGAAGTGTGTCTATACCCAGCCTTTTTCCCCCGACACAATTTAGCCTGTACTTTATATTTATATATTCTTAAACCATTGCAATGACGTCACACTATTGTTAAAAGTGTGGATTCGGAACTACGAGTCTCTTACACTGGTCAGTGGTCACAAAGTTTGGATTCGGAACTTCGAATATTTAGTAAAGTGTGGATTCGGAATTACGAACTGACAATCTCTTACATTGGGTTCGCACACCTACAGAAACAAAGTCAGAAATATGTACGTGCAGTTTCCAATGGTGTTGGAATTTGCCAGGATGGGTATGGCTCCTAGTAAATCATGCTAGGGAGCTAGGGTTAATTTGAAACATATTTCGCCCTTTTGTACCCTTGGGCTAGATGTAATGTGTTCAGCTTTAATGCGAAGTCACGCTCTGAATGTCGCAAATGACGGATGAGCGAGTGCGTCGTTCATGCCTGCATAGCGGGCTGGGTTGGGATGGTTAGCTGCCCGACAATGGAGACTGACTGCGAGTTAATTGGGAAGAATGGGCTAAGGTCCTCCCAGTCTAGAAATCCTTCGTGACCGGACTTCAAATCATTCTGGCTCGAGATTTCCCAGTCCCCATGTAGTCTAACTTGAGTCATCTCAGGTAATTTTGTTTCTTCATAAGTACTGTAAAACGACTCCTCTTTTACATGGTTTGAATATGTAAGATCAATGATGTTCTGTCTACATTTCAACTCCATTTAGCTTGTCAGATTTTTAACACCTCGAAAGCAAGATCTTTCTATGCCCACCTCCTGAACTGCGAGGCCAGTGATGATTTTGCGTACAAGAATACTTAAATTGACGGAGTTAAAAAAACACACCCGGTTTTAGCATGCATGATGATTTCTCGTTGCTGAAATGCGTTGTCAGTTCATCATTCAGACAAAGATTAATCTGTACCGTTAAGAATCTGGACCGTGTCAACCATGATATTTGTGATAGTGTTAAAACAGTTTTACATCGTAATCAATTTCCTGATTGTGATAATCTTAGCACTCTTGGTCGACTGCTCAGGACTCAGGTCGTTTTGACAATCTCTTTTGCCTGTCTGAATGATCTGGCCGGCCGTCCTCTAGTGTCATGATTATCCTGATCTTAAATGTTGTTATTTTTAGCATGTATTTCGCTGTATTTATACATATTTTAAAATGTTGTATTTTATCCTCTCTGTTGGAAATAAATAGGCCTGTATCCTTGCACTCGCTATAGGCAAATACGATTCACAAATTCATCATTCACGAGCTTCTTTCTTAAATAACTATTTATTTAAATTACGTATTGTGGTAAGTTATTAACCAAAAAAGTCTGATTTTCTTTTTGTCCTTTCTGTGTTTCTCAGATCAAAACGTGCGGTTTCATTTTGCCTAGTAATCAGAGCCCTGTTAATAGTTACCTCAAATAAAAAATAAATGGTACATTTTTCGTGATTATCAACTTTGGTTTGCTTTTCCGTCGCTCGAATGACATGAACTCAAGTGCACGTTATCATTACCGTGATCATGATTGGATGTCTGCCCGTGAGACATAGTCGTGAGACATAGTAATAATGTAGTAATGTAACGTCATGCATCACGATAAACACTGCAATCACAGTGGAGCCTATTGCAATTCCACTTGAAATCAAACACCCAAAACATTTTGCGTTGCAACTTGGATATTTATCATAAACTATGAAACTATCAAACTCGCTTGACTACGTGCACTCAATAATGTTACGCACTAAATGATTGGTATTGTGCCCAATGATGGTCAATACACCAACTGCCTACACTCGTATAGACAGCTTCTTCCTAAAATGTGGTCACTTTTTACCCGAATTAGCCAATAGTTTTGGTAATTTTACAGTGATGTTTGGAAAATAACCTTGCTCTTAGTGCTGTTGCCCAACTTTTTGGTGTGTGTCCTGTTTGACTTCTTATATCCACACCGCAGACTTACTTACACTCTCCAAGAAAACTGTTGTCCGCTTTGACTTGAGATTTTTTTCTAATTTACATGCAAGTTTAGTACACACTCTCAAAACACTGGTTACAATTTGGTTGGTTATAAAAGTTGGTTAAAATTTTAACCAACATTGTGTAATTTTTTCCAATTTGACTAATGTTTGGTATATTTTACCGAACGTTAATTGGGTAAAATTGGTTAATTTTTTAACCAACTTTTTTTAACCAGCTGTTGGGCTATCAGTCACATGGTAACCAACGGTTGGTTAAAATTAGTCATTTTACCCAACGTTGATTAAATTTAACCAAATTTAACCGACATTGGGTAAGTTTAACTGTGTTAACCAACCGTTGGTTACCAGGTGAACAGCCCAACAGCTGGTTCAAAAGTAAGAAGAAATGTTACCCAACATTGGGTAAATTGTACCCAACATTGGTCAATGGACAAATTAACACAGTGTTGATTAAAATTTTAACCAACTTTTTTAACCAACCAAATTTTAAGAAGTGTTTTGAGAGTGCATGATAATGAAAAGTTACATCTTTCCTGAACTAGTGCTTCCAGCCGTTTGATAAGGATATGGTTTACAGCACTCTAGTTCAGGGAAAATAGCTAAATTAACGCCACAATGACGTCTGCTTAACCACTATGAACGGAGTCTGAGTTTACATTCCCCTTTTTTCCCGACAAAATCAGAAGAGCAAACAAATGATGACCAACTCTCACGAGATATGATTACTTGCTTCAGACTGGCTACTTTCCTAGTAAAAGGAGACTTTAGCGGGTTGACTGTTTTCAGTTCATGAGCAACCCGACCTCCGTATTAAGTGTCAATCGATGGAATTTAAACTTGTCAAACAGTGCGTATTTTCACACAAGGAGTAAAAAATGGTTTTTAGTTTCTTGTTACGTCGGACAAAAAGTGCACTGTGACTTCGGACTTTTTGTGCTGTAATAATAGAAATGCACACATAGATTATTAGTGTTTGGTTGGCTGAGAAATCTGCCGGAATCTGTCGTAGGATGGGTAAGAATGTTTATCTGTTGTTATCTAAAATGAAATTTAAAAAAAATCATTATTAGCATATTTTGTGCCCTTCTCAATCAGATGTTTTGCGTTCCTCTTTTGTGTCAAGCATTGTCGGAAAAGATGTTGTTTTAGATGATGTTGAATTTTTATTTTTGTGTGTATGTCAGTCAGTGGCGTAACCGGGGGGGGGGGGGGGGAGGACACTTGCCCCCCCCCAAAAAAAAATCCCAGTGCGCCCTCCCCCCAAAGGTTCCCCCGCCCGGCCCTACCAATAGAATCGAAAATTGACCGCTTGCCAAGGAAGAGTCTTTCTAAATTACCTTTGTGAGTTGTGAAAATGAAGAGGAATCTTCATCTTCATTACTATTTTATACTTAACCGCACGTCTTTATTAAATATGAACTAATTAATAAGAAAAGAGAACGCCCTCCAGCTTCAAAAGAGGTCCCCCTCTCCGCTTTTCGAATTTGTAGCACTTGTGATGGCTTGGAAATTTAGGGGAAATGTTGTTGGTCCGCCCTTGGTGCCCCTCACAAAAAGCTGGTGCCCCTTTCCCTTCCCCTATGAAAAGTCCTAGCTACGCCACTGATGTCAGTGTCCTTAGAAAAGTCTTTGATCTCACGTTGTAATCTCATGTTTTCAATGAAATCCCCCATCATAAGATAATTACTATTATGAGATATGGTATTTGATATCAACAAAGAGATACTGATTTGTTCAGGCTTTTCCTATTTTAAGTCTGCCAATTCATGTCTCAATTTTCCAATTTGACCCGGCTGTTCTTCCAATTTCCTGACAATAAAATATTCTTTTGTGCATCTTAAGTGTCTCTATCTTCAGGTGGCTCTAAGGCAGCTGCAGTGTAATACCCCATAATAAAGCGTAATATAACATGAACGATAGTACATTGAAAGCTTGAAAGCACTATTGATTGATACAGAAGCAACATGTAACACTTTGACGACCATGAAGGCTGCTTGGCGTCAGGCCTGCACTTCCTTCCTCAATCATGGGCAAACTGCCTCATCATCACTCACTTCGATTTCCACATTTTCATTACTAAAGTGCCTGGGTCTATATTTAGAGGTCTACTACTTTTTAAAATGTTCCTGTCTTCCAAGGTTTTCATAAAATCAAATGTTATATTGTGCAGGTTGTGTCGTGAATGGCAATTAATGTTTGACATCACAGTGTATAAACGAGAAGTGAATGACATGGACCTTATGTAACTGACTTTGTAGTAATACCCTATATGCTATAATTAAGAATCTTGAATACACTCAACCAAAAAAGAAAGTCCCCCATTAATACTTTTTTTGTCTAACTCAAAAACTACTGGACACATCTTGCTCAAATTACAACTGATAAGTACAGAAGTTCCATAACTTGCACGTATACACAAGTGCAACTGTTTTTGGTAGCATTTGTCATGAATTGCAAAATTTCGTACACATTTTCACTGTTTTGGCGCAATTGGCCAAATAAAGAGTATGGCTGGATAAGGAATTTCTGTACTGATTAGTTGTTATTTGAGCGAGAGGTGCTCAGTAGTTTTTGAGTTGGACAAAAAGTATTGGGGGGGGGGGGCTTTCTGTAAAGGGTAAAAGTACATAATATTAACCTGGATAAACTGGAAAAGAAAAAGAAAATAATGACATGGTCTTTACTTGTCCCGATTCAGCATTGCAATGACGCTAACCCGGGTCCCGTTGACTACGGCTATTGTGATTGGCCGTGGGTGATTTAAATAATAATGGAACCAATTTAAATAAGAATTGAGTACTTTGGGACAAACTACACAATTATGGGGGGAACCTTTTTCAGGCCGGTGACTCTTGGGAATATTAATAAGAAAGTTAAAACTATTATTCCTGCAGCTATAGGTCCGCGGCATGCATAAACTACGCAACGCTCTTCGGATGCTTTTGATACTCCACGTGTGTGCTGCGAGACGAGTCAAACAAGATAGTGGTAAGTTACCATCTTGTTAAGTTTAATGTTAAGACTGAGCTAAAGTACATCTATTAAGAGATGCAAAAAGAGGATACTTTCGACAAGTGGTGCTTCGCCGGGCCCAGTAATCACCCTTGCTAGTGAGCACAGACCCCATATAATATTAAATGTGACCTGCCATAGCATAATGAGGAATAACCCCCACACTTGACTTTTCATGTTATGTACATCATGTTAAAGCGCAAATCATTGGCTTTCCAATGATGCCAAGTTTATTTCTGTAGCTGAATTTATTTCAAAGATATGCCGGAAGAACTTCGACAGTGTCCGCCAATCTTCACCAAACTCATTTCGAGATCATGGCGCTGCCAACGGCAGTACCTTCTTCAGTTTTTCCACTTTTGCATGTTTTCCCCAATATAAATGCATAGTGTGAATCTTGGACACCTTGACTTTTCAAAAATACAAAAACAACCAATAGTAATTGTGACATGATTTGTCTACTTTATCCGACTTCAGGCGTCGATTACTCAAAACAAGGTTTTGGGGGACATTCCTCATTTTGCCTCAGTAGGTCACAAATCGTCGTGTGCCTGCTGGCACTTCGTGATCCGTAAACACCAACATTTTCCCAGCTAAAAGGGCACATGCAGAAAACAGTCTCTACTTCAATGAAATTGTAAAGTTTCAGTCGGAAATTAACAAAGAATATTGGAAGAATGTTGGATTCATAATACACGCGGGAACATTGGAGCTTTTAAGTGCAGTTTTCTTGAAAGTGATGTTCGTGTCAGAGCGCTCATATGCCCTTCTTCCGGGCACAGAGGTTTTGGGTTGTGAATTCTGGTTGTTGTTTTGGTCAGATTGTCAGAAACCTTAGTAAAAACACACGTTTGTTGTACATACCTAGTGTGGACTTTCCTTTGTTTTCGTGTAGTTAAGAAACCAGTGAACAAAATCATTTTACTCTCACTGTGAAAAGTCTTTCAACCCAAGTTTTTTCTATGATTCCCTTTAGTGTTTCTCTTCATTTTGCCACGAATAAACCTAACCCAAAACTGCCTCTACCTGTTTACCAGAGAGGGGAAACCTTGTGTGGACTTGGGCAAGTCCGCACAACGTCGCTGCTACCTGGTTTATGTGGACATCTTTTGTTCGGAAGTCCACACAGTGAATGTAATGCTTGTACACAATAATTATGTGCTGAAGATCACTGCAGCCTATAAAATCAAGTGCAGCGTTCTTAAGTAGTGATTTAATATGCAGCCAATTCTGTGAATGATTGTGTATTGTTCTTTGCATCCTTTCCATTAGCTCTAAGGCATCTTCAGCGCAGGACTGTCGATGCTCACAAGCACTGCGGGGTAGATTTTCCGTGTCTGAACTCCACGCAGTGCGTACCTCAAGATGCAATATGTGACGGGACACCGGACTGCGATAACGGCTCGGATGAATGGGAGATGGAAGAGTGCCGTAAGTAACTCACTGCTTGATATAGACCTACGTCTACCACACAGAGGTAAATTAGGATTTAGTGACCAAATTGGATAAGTGCTTCCCACTTTACTCTGGGTAACTGCTGAGCTTGCAAAATATGCTGAATGCGAAATTGGAACAGACGTTCCTTAGCTTTCGCGACTACAGTGTGTATAAAAAAAGATACATTTAGAGAGAAAAAAATACCAGCTACTTTTTTGTTTAATAATAGCTTATATACGCTTAAAGATTGATTATTTCTCAACACAATGCTGTTTTCTCTAACTCATTTGGACAACTACATCCAGACAAAATATAGACGTTAATTGAAGGGATGATATGTCAATGTGGTCCAATTTGCGGCAAAGTGGATGAAAGGAGATTAAACATGTCAGCAATCTATCTATTGGCCAACCTTCCTATTGTTCGTTGCCAATCAATAGTGAATTGGAAAAACCTCAACTTATGCTCCAATGATTATGCAAACGAGTTACATATTCAATGAATCTAAGATTCAAACTAAATATTGATTGGCAAAGAACAATAGGCAAGTTGGCCAACAGAGAGATTGCTGGCATGTTAATCATCCACTTTGCTGCAAATTGGACCACATTGACATATCAGCCCTTTCAATTAACTGTCTATATCTCTAAATGTATATGTCCAAATGAGATAGGAAAAACAGCATTGTGTTGAGAAATAATCTTTCCTTAAGCGCATAATAAGTTATCATTAACAAAATAGGAGCTACTATTTTAAATATTTTTTCTTTCTAAATTCATCATTATTTTGATACATTCTGTGGCCTAGTGGTTAGGTTTGTGACTCATGAGCAGAGGGTCATGGGTTCAAATCCTGCTGCTGGCCATATGCTGTGTCCTTGAGCACGCCACTTCACCCCCACTTGCCTCTCCCCATCCAAGAGTATAAGTGGGTACCGACATTAGCTGGAAAGTAACCTGCGATGGACTAGCATCCCATCCAAGGGTAAAGGAAATATTTTCAGTCGTTTTATGCTACTGAAACTGGAGATAAACGCCGGCCTGATTGGCCACATTGGCTCGTGACAGACTCTACTTTTACTGTACCGTGATTATTTTTTTGTTTTCCTTCATGTCATTAGGAGACTTGAATTTAGCGAAGATGTGGGATGATTTCTTCGGCACAAAGGATGAATCTGGGGAGGAGGAAGAGGATGATGTAAATCAAGGTGATATGTTCACAACCTCCTACAATGCAGTTACAGTCTTAGTTATACACCAACCCAAAATAAGTCCCCTTTAAAACTCTTTGTCTAACTCAAAAATTACTGGGCACATCTTGCTCAAATTACGACTGATCAGTACAGAAATTCCTTAGCAATCCAGACGTGCTCTTTGTTTGACCCAAAACAGTGATAATTTGTACAAATTTATGCAATTTATGACCATTAATGATACCGAAAACAGTTTTGTAGTTGTGGTTCACACTCACCTTGCACGCATACAAAAGTGCAACTTTCTTTTCAGTATTATTTGTCATAAGTTGCATAATTGTGTACACATTATCAGAGTGTGGCTGGATTGCTAAGGAATTTCTGTACTGATCAGTCGTAATTTGAGCAAGATGTGCCCAGTAGTTTTTGAGTTAGACAAACAAGTATTAAAGGGGGACTTTCTTTTTTGGTTGAGTGTAGTTACATCTATAGTTTTATTTCTTGTATCTCTCTACTTTCACTCCGCAGGTAGTGTGCACAAATTTAGGAGATTGTGATCATCACCCTTACCGTCAATCTTATTACCATTTGTTCAATGTTTACCTTATAACTCTGTATTATGTTCCAGTTTTCCGCTGATGAAATCAAATTGACGTAAACAAGCTTGCTGAAGGACATATCAAGAACAAAAAACCGGCCTCCTTCAATTTGAAGAATCAGCTGAGATATATATTTACTGCTGTTTTAGTTACAAAACTCTGGCTTCTACATGTTACTTGGTGAACGGTCGAACGGATGGTCTGTCCGTCTGTCTGTCTGTCCCCGAAAATTGACCAAAAGTGTGGTGTTCCATAATGTGCCATCGGCGTCGCACTTTTAAACTCTGACAGGGAACTTTTAAATCGATTTCATACAAGACTTTCGTGCAACATTTCCTGCAACACGGCCAGAGCTTATTGTGCACTCGCACGTGTTGCGTTTTAAACTTCATTCTCGAATTTCTTCCATCAGGTTTAAGCCCCGATCCACTGCCGCAAAGATCGTTCGATGCGCACGGGCATTGCGGGGAGGACTTTCCGTGCATTAACTCCACGCAGTGCGTTCCTCAGGAAGCAATATGTAACGGGGAACCAGACTGTGATAACGGGTCAGATGAGTGGGAGCTGGAAGAGTGCAGTAAGTGGACTCTGTTATGAGAATCCAATTACATTGTAATGACATAGAGGTGTGACAGTGATGTGCTTTTGGTAGCCACGAACCATGTACCTTCATGACCTGTTCAAGATAATGTTCTCGTTCACCTGTCAGTGGTGGCGCCAGCCTCTCAATTTGTGTGAAGGAGGGCAATATAGTCTAGGTAATAGACCGTGGCGCAGATTCGCTGATTTATTATGCAAGACAATCGCATCTTGACCTCTAGATTTTGATCAATCAGCGGGCGCTTTAGGTCTTCGGTTGTTCACCGTTGTCGCGCCGTAAACATGGATTAAATAAAGACCTAGACACAGCAACAAATTAAGGCTGTGTCACGCGCTCTGTATTATGTTACGCGGCACGCGCCCGGCTGTTCGAATTCGAATTGACCAATCAAACATTTAGTCCTGATTTGAAATGACGTCACGATTTAGTAAAGTCGACTCCGATTGGTTGAGGTGCGAGATCGCATAAATATGCATGCTTAATATATATATATATCAGATGTTATATACAGGAGTCTTGGCTCCGTGGATAACGGTTGATACTCAGACTAACAATTTTTTTGGGGGGGGGGGGCAAGGAATTTTTTTTTGGGGGGGAAGTCAATTGTCCTGAAATCAACAGCCACTAGAGCAACTTAGAAGTGTAGTCGTTTTTATGAATGAGAAATAAATTATATCAAACCGCAGAATAGTGTCATACCAAAATTAATGCATATAACAAATGTACAAAGACGTTGGTTGCACACTACCGTATCTACGGCTGTAAAAACGCACTTGTGACGTGTTTTTTGTCTATCAATGAATGTTTATAATGTTTTCATTGGCCCAAAATGTGTCAACAGAACCGATGATGCACTCCCTGTATCTTCAACTCGGTTATGAATAACAGCAACGAAAATAAACATAATTAATCTATTTGTAGATAAAGCGTTGGCGGAAAACTGGGATGGGGGGGGGGGATGGGGTAGGAGGCAAAGAAACAAATGGGGGGGGGCGGATTTACCCGCCCCCATGCCCCCCGGTAGCGCTGCCACTATACCGGAGCGCAGTGGGCCCGATGACGAATGAAGTCACAGGTCGCAAGAGTAACTTAGGAGTCAGTGGCCTTTTGATAGTATCTTTCACTTTGGAAATCAAAAGGAACAGCAACCTTTTAACCCGTATCGTCCTGTCAAACTGAGCGATAAATCAATTGAAACAAAAACAAGACTTGTGAAACCTAAGAAAAGAACGACTGTCCGTACGACTCCTGTTGTAGGATCAGATCCGCATCAGTGATGAAGATCCCTGTATATGTATCCCAGCAAAGCTTACATACGTGTACATAACACGAAACATCTCAATAGACCTTATTCACACGGAAGCCATTTTGGATCGTATTCCCTGAACCTATTTTATATATTGTAAACTGTTGAATGGGATTGTACCAGACTATTTTATGATTGGAGTGCGTTTCAAGCCTCACTTTCAACTCTTTTTTTTTTTAAAATAAATCTGGCTTAAAATATTAGGGTTTGTTTAATCACAAATTTCAAAATATTCATCAGAGCGGACTGGTATCAAGTCTGTAATGTAACTGTAATGACTTTATATTTCACTGCTTTCGATTTTACTCACAAGTTCCAAAAATGAAGAGTTTACCTCGCTTTCAATTGAATATGGCCGATTCGTGAAAAAAAAGTCTTTTACAGCAACATTTTTTTTTAAAGCTCAGTGCAGTACACGTGCTCTTTATATAAAGACATACATTTCGGTTTTTGTTTCCATGAGAGGTCTTTTTATTATTATTTTTTTTCCACTGCCTTAGGAGACTGGAATTTAGCCAAGATGTGGGATGACTTCTTTGGGGATAAAGCGGAAGACGAAGACGTCCGAAGAGAAATTCCATGTGGTATTTTATTTATTTTACATTATGTATTTCTTAATTTTAACTGGGTAGCCCATTCAGTGGAATCCACGGTCTCCCATGGGGCCCAGTAAAGAGAAGACAATGTGAAAAAATTATACAGTTTTAGATGTGGGGGGGGGGGGAACCCCGGTGAATATTCTGAGAAAAACCCACGGAATCAGGCAGGGACTGAAAACCCAATTATATTGACCAGGCGGGATTCGAACTCGGGTCACAGCGGTGGAAGGCGAGGAAAGTACCGCTCCGCCAACCTGACTCCATTTGTATGGCTTGGCGTATTACCCCCTTTTAATTTTAAATTGTAAAGATCAAAAGCTACATATTCTTTCACTAAGCATTCCTTCTTGATTTTGGAGTCTAAATAGGCCGCTCATAGGCTACCCCCCCCCCCCCCTCTGTAATGCCGTTCCACTACACAGCATTTTAATCAATCAGGCATGCCAGGCGCCATTCAGCCTGCAATCTGCTAGGCAAACGCAATTAGACCTATCTGTTTTAGTGGCCCCTTGAGATACTAATAGTAATCAGAATTCCAGTAGGCCTACTTTCTTCAAATTAATGATTCCGCAGCGCATTTAAGGATTGAAAACCAGGCAATCTAATGGTTGTACAACTTCTTTTTATCCCGTCTAAAAAAAGAGAAAGGCACATTCCCCGAATCCTGTGACTGCTTTGTCGAGATTGAAGAGACAAGGAAGGACTTGCCGTCCTTAGCGTCACCATTCAATGCGACTGGAGATGCGTCTATGGGCGCAGGTGTCGATGACGTTGGCACGGAGACCAATGTTACTGACGGGATACCCTATGGGTTGGGAGTGCAAGGCGTAGTCGTCGGTGTCAGGCTGGACTGCAGTGCTAGACAACTCACCGAATTCCCAAGAAACCTCCCTAACAAAACCATTTCACTGTAAGTCTGAATCTTTTGTTTTTAATAATCATGTTGAAGAAGCGAATTCGACTTTTGATTCTTGTAAGCTAGTAATACTAGTATCATCGTAGTTTCAAGATTTAAAATGGGGGGGGGGGGACCCAGGGCATGGACCTCCACTGCCCCCCTCCCCCCCCCCCCCATACACCCGTAGTTGCGCCACTGGTTACAGCTAACCCCATTATTTCTGATTAAACGGTAACTTAAACCTCAGTACCAAAAAAAAAAATTCCGATTTAAAAAGCCATTAATGTTACTCTCACCGACTCCAAAAATAATCATAAGGGCGCCGTCTAGAACGCAAGACACTGTAACGTTGATTAATCTGGGCGTGATTTAGGCTTTTTTGTTATCTGTCATGTCTGTCCAAAGCCAGAAACTAAGCAGTTCAATATAGTCTTTGCACTTTTTTTTCCAAAGGGAATTCCACCACTGCTATATCATATTATCAATCAGCACCCAACTTCAAGTACACAAATGAAACACCATACCAAAGGAAGCGGCTAAATGACCGTACACTTAGCCCATTATTCCTGACAGAAAAGCAAAATAGAGAGATACTGAATACCACTTTTGTATGAAGTATTCAATCCAGTGTCCTCTTCATATCATCTCTGATTACCAGCGTAGCTCTGTCTTCAAAGTCACATGTTATTCAGCCGGACACCGGATACGCACTTTTGGTGACTTTCCCTATTTGTATAGTCGTCCAGTTACAATGCAAAAACTGCCGAATGTGCCCACTAAATTCTAGCGGTGTTGAATATGGTCTGCGATTTTTCATTCATAAATGGTGTCGATGTTTAGATTTGTATCCGTAATAAGTGAGTTCGGTATTCCAACTGCTCATGTGCACATCCAGATTTCCCGATTTTTCTTTAAAACCAGCAAAGTTGAAGCGATCATCGTGTTCTGAAGTAACATTTTTGCAAAAAGAGTTTGGACAGCGAAGTGTTTTTAGGTGTCCTGTGTGTCCAAACCTTTGTACGACAAAAGTTCCATCTCTTCTCGGTTGCACGAACAATTTCACAGAATAGGCCTGTAGATTTGGTTATCACGTCCCCCATAGCCTTGTGTGCATTTATCTGCCGCGGTTATCCCACCAGACTATTTTGGAATACCAAACTCGCTTATTGTAGACACCAAAATGTTCTTTACCTTACCACATTATTTTTCAAAATTGTACAAAGACGTTTTTTTTCCTTTTGTGCTTTTAAATTTTCTATTTTTTTACCAAGTCAAACACCAGTACACAATTTACAAAAGCTGGATATTCGCTGTGAAGTTCGTGTCATGAAAATTAAAAGTGTTAAAAGCATATCCTAATCGTACTTCGTATCACTGTTGTTGTTTTTTTGTCCTTTCCAGCGATTTGTCAGATAACAAAATTACCAGCCTGACGAAAAAAGACATGGAACACTTGACACATTTGCGTCAACTGTGAGTACATGCCGTCGGTTATACTGAACATGTTTGTTTTTGTTTTAATATTGATTTTAACATTTTTGGTATGCATCGATTCAGAAGCACACCAAAACTCCACAATTAAAAACTGCCAAGCCCACGCATTCTCAGCACATTTTCAAGATATGTGTCTGGACTAGCTATTGACGGAACGGCCCGGTGCTAAGCCTATGAAATGTAATACGCTGTCCAACAATTCCCCGTAGCCCGAGCTTTCATGATCCACAAACACTATGAAATCTTATACACTCAATCAGTCCAGCGAGTGACAGTCCGCCATTGTTCGGGGCTGTTGTGCCGATTTGGTTGGGGCGATCGGCATGGATTCTTTCCGGTGGTGACACGCTAACTCCTCCTTGCATTTGGACACAGCGCCTCTATCTTAGAATCGCAGAAACCTGAGAGGGTAAACCATCTCCTATGAATTCATGGCATCATTATCCCACTTCGTTAAAAGGTTTATCTGATTTCTTTGTGCTCTTCGGTGTCAGTCAAAAACGCCATCGGGGACTCTGTTTTAGTGAATTTAGTGTTTTGTTAACATTGCACTTTGACCTGGGACTACCAATGAATTCATAATTTCGTCCAAATGCTGTAAGTGCGAGCTGCCGTCTGAACATCGACAAACATGGAATTATTGAATGTTAAGTCCTTTTTCGTCTTTCTTATTAACCTTGTAAGAAACAGTGCCAATGGTCCTTATGTACGAGTTGGCCATTTTTGTCGAGTTCCCTGAATGTATTTCATTAAGTGTTAACTGTTGAATGGGATGGCGCCCGACTATTTATGCAGGCATAATGCAGCCTTTTAATCTGGCTTTAAACACTAAGGAATGTTTAATTACAAATTTTTAAATTATTCATTCAAGCAGACTGGAATAAATTAGACTTAATTTGCTTTCATTTCTCTTCGAAAGTTCCAAAAATTATAATTTTACCTCGCTCTCAATTCAATATGGCCGACTCGTGCATAAGGCCCATACTAAATGTCATTGGACGTTTTCAAACTACTTTGTGCATGCTTATGATGCGCCGCGGCAAGTCAGTATATGAATCTCCCATCCGGTCATTATTGTTTGTCGAAGTCGAACACAAAAGTATCTCTGCTTCTCAAAATAGTTTGTTAAAATGGTTCTCTAATGAAACACGGGCCTATTCAAACGAAGTGATGTTCTGTCTGTGTTTGACGATTCCAGTAATCATAACATCCGTGTCTGTTTTTAATGTCGATTTCTTTAGGTTACTATCCAGGAACAAACTGCAGAACGTCGAGGAAGGGACTTTTGAATCGCTGACAGATTTACAAACATTGTGAGTATATGCCACCAACGATAACTCCTGCGATACTGAGGTAAAGTGATAATGGTTCAAATGATTTTTGTGAAGAGAAACCGGAGACTTATCGATGCGAAATACAAGCCTTTTAACAATAAACAAAAAGGTAACTTGATTGTTTTTGTTTTTTTGTTGTTTTTTTTGCAGACGAATGATTGCCTGTGATTTGGAAGATGTGCCGCCGAGAATGTTTGCAACACAAAACCGTCTAGTCACTCTGTGAGTTTGATTATAACAATACCTTTCTTTGTAATCCCATTTGTTTAACTCAAACAAAGACAAGATTTTCAAAATCATCTACGAGACTAACACATGACACACCGCAATCGAGGGAGACCATTTTTGTCATATCTTTTATTCTGAAGAGAAAGTGTGCAGGCACGTTTTTACTGGAACTCCCTGCGTTATCGCTATGCATAATGGTGGACTGAGGTTGTTGTTTTTAATACCGAGAATTATCATTTTCGTTTTCCAAATATTGGCTACGTCCCCAGTTCAGCTTCTTGGGATTTTTCGGAACGTGGACTTCGCTTCAGTGTAGCTGCGTGTTCTGCCTCGAGGCCAATGATATCACGCCAACGTTTTTAATTTTTATTTTTATTTTTTACATAAAAGGCTTCTAAATAATTCTGGTGCATGCCCGAGATCAAGGCCTAGAATAAGCCCATAGTGTCCAAGATGGAGAAGTTGCGACTTGAACATGATATTGATATTATCAAAACGATGATTTTTTTTAGGTTTTGTTGGGATGGGGGTTGTTAGAAATCGGAGTTAAAAAGGCATTAAATATCCACATATGATATCTGTTTAGAAATTGTTCTGTTAAGTGCAATGCGCCTTTCAATTGTTTCCCCACCCCTCTCCCCGGGCTGCCCCACCCAAGACGTGGGGATTGTCACTTTTGAAGTGACAAAATCCCCACCCCTCGGGCAAAATTTTAGGGACAATCCCCGACCATGCCCCGATATACATACATACGTGGACGCACTAGTGATTGCCTTTCCATGTAGTACGCCAATGTTAACAATGTAATTTCAGTTCCCGAAATCGCCATATTGGGGCATGAAAAACGTGACCAAATCCCAACATCGGACCTGGGGCAGCGAGGGGGGGGGGGGGAGGGGGGAAACATTTGATAGGCGCATAATTTTATCGAAGTGGCACACTCTTTAGCTCCCGTTAGACATATTCAATTATTAACCTATAAATTATCGTTTTCTTATTCCCGTCCCCATTCAAAGAGATTTATCGTACAACATCCTCACAAGGCTTGTCAGAGGAAGTCTGTTCGGCCTGCACAACTTGGAATATCTGTAAGTATGATAATTGACAAATAACAGCCTTTTACTCTTTTTGTTAAAAGACTATGACGCCGGGAGAGAGCAAGAAAATATCGAGAAAAAAATGACGAATTGAGATTTCATTTCAAATATTTGTCTGTTATGTTATTGACATGGGTATTATGTAATTTTCCGCTATTAGAGACTCCATCCTTTTCCTTTTTTTCGAAATATTTTTAAGAGAAAAAATATGTTGATCAAACCGCCCTCCACGGCCGAGGAAACTTCTGGCTTTCCTCCAGTAATTGAAATGTGAAAACCAACATCATAGTGTACTTTTGGTCTTTCAATGCGGTAGTCTAGATGGCAGACTGACACTTCCTAACAAGGGCGGATCCAGAACACAATTGGGGGGCCCAAAAACATTTTTTTCCCCAAAAAAGTTGGTCCCAAAAATTACGAGGCCCGCTTAAGGGCCCCGAAATTTTATTGGATTCTAGAAGCTCTGTGGTGCGATCGAGGCAATTTCCGACCACTTTAACCAATTTTATTTTGGAAAATACGGTGGTGTAAGCAGTGCCTGCCTTTATTGCGACGTCACTTAAACAAAAAATGGGTTCTTGGCTTTGTTTATTTGTTTGTTTGTTTGTTGGGGTGTTTATTTGTTTGTTTGTTTGTTTATTTATTTATTCTTTTCCAGCGATATACGAGGTAATCGGCTGGCTGAAATCGAGACGGGGGTATTCAAAGATTCGTCCAGGATTTACTTCATGTGAGTGAGAAGTTTAAAACAATCGTTTTAAAAATTCAATGTTTGTTAGTATATTGTGATGTATTTACTTGTTTCGTTTGTTTAAATAGGTCATTATTTTTATACAACGCCTAAATAAATCCCCGTCGTCGGATTGGTGGGTCGTTGATCACGTGTCATTGAATTATTCGTCCAAACCCACGTCCCAGCCGCACCGTAAAAATAGAAGTTCTATTCCACGGTAAATAGTAGTTCGATTGCCCGGCCACACTATTGGTGGCTCTGACCAATTAGATGACGAGGATTTATTCAGGTGTTGTGACTATTCAAATAATGAATGTTTCACATTCGTGCAATGGCAAGAATAATTTCATTCGGTGACAGATGGAATGTTCCATTCTTTGCCACGTGGAATTGAACATTCCACCAAGTTATTCTTACCATTGCCCTTATAAACATTCATTATTTGTATAATAACCAAAGTGTAAAACCATAGAGCAAGGACCCAAGGAGTCAGAACTCTTGGGCGATTTACATTTTGACCATTAACATACCAATCCCTCGGGAATGTCTATAGCTACAGCACTGTGACCGCAAGCCTCGACCATTCAAAGCGTGAATGCCAGCGGCCTTTGAACACGATGATCGTCGGCGCCTTTTTAGTTGGTAACCAACAACCTCCCTATATGCTGCATAATAAGTCATGTCACGTCGCTGCTCTTTTTTGAAAAATATATTTTACGACAAGATAGGTTATTACAACTGCGCAGTTGTTAGATGTGAGTTATGAACTCAAGTTAGCAATGTGCAGTTGTTGGTGCTTAAAAGCGTTATCTGTCCCTGTAATTTGGAGATAAATTGGATTTCTTTCAGATAAGTTTTCATGTATTTTCAGACATTTTAATTGGCAATATATCATTGATGAAATGTGTTTTTTTGGAAAATTTCACAAGTTTTCACACTAAAGGTACAGAGCATTTTGTTCTTCATGAAATGATTGTTTCAGTGATGTTGACCACATTGTTAGCCAGTATTAGCCAACTCCGAACAAACACTTCAAAATCATTCATTTTTAGCGATGTATGACAACTGCGCATGCGTATTTACCATGGTACTGTCTACGAAGCCATGCAAACTCCTTTTTTGACATTAGTGAGCGCGGATCTCTATTGTGTCGAGATTAGCGTAGTGAGCAACTGAGCAAGCTGGCGCCAGGTGCTTTCTATTGTAGCTTTCGAGCGCGGCGACCATCATTTTACTTTTGAAGTCTTGGAGTACGAACTCCTTGGGTCCTTGCTCTATGGTAAAACCATCCTAGGGGCTCAGAGTTTTACTACGTATTGTTGTTCGGCAAGAATTATATTGCTACAAATCCACATCTTCATATTTTGCAGGCACATCTCACAAAACAGATTATCGTCAATACCAGCAGAACTCTTCAGACCACTCAGAGATCTCCGATCCTTGTAAGCTTTATTCCTCCATTTCAACTTTTGATATACCACGTAGAAATTCAAGTAATATTCTTTTTGTCGTTATCCCCACCACCACCTTACTCCGTCACCACCTTACACGTCACCTACTTCTCCATTCAAACTATCAGTTTTGTAGTCGAGACACTTTCTGAGCCAGATAAGTCAGCTATAATAAGGGAGTAAATGTGTGCTTGGGGGTGTTAAACACTCTGCTTAAGACCGGTTGGAGTCTGGAATGCTGATAATTACCCGCGCCAAAGGCTCCAACCGGTCTTAAACAGAGTGTTAAATACCGACCAGATAAGTAAGATTTGAGGCTTTGCATGGTGGAGATACTAAATAATGAAAGGTTTGCGGAAACACCATTATTTAATACCGACCAAGCACATATTTGTTCCCATTCATAAGTCATTTTAGGTGTAAAAAAAAAAAAGCAACCAAACTGCTTCGGTCCAAAAGTCAAAACAAGTCAAAAATTATTCATTTTCAACGATTTCGATCAACAAAACATCCCTCTATAGGTATACATGGTTATACAATGATTAGGCCCTCTAATAATATCGGGCTCTCGACCAACAATCGGGAATTTTAAACACAGACACTGTTTTTAAGATTTGCCCATGGATCACCAAAAAAAGCCTCGGGCTTGTGTTCTATCAGCAAAACGAAAACAATTGACACACATCCCTATGTGAATTGTTTTCGTTTTGCTAAAAGAACACTTAATATTTTTTGTGATCCGTGGACAAATCTTTGAAACGGTAGTTGTGTTTAAAATTCCGTAACTTAAAAAGTACATTAATGATTTGAATGATTCTTGCACTAAAAGAAAGCTTATTAATTAAACTTTTATATCCCACATTTTAAAAGTGCTACATGCTGATCTTCCTAACCAAAATGACCCTGCCATTTGGGTTTTCTTTTTTTTACTCACCCTGTAGAATTGTAAAATATGCAGGAAGGATCGTTAGGGATTATTGACTTTTGAATAAAATAAACTCTGCAAGTTTCCTGTTCATCTTCTTATCAGCGTTTAGCATTTTTGGTCTAGTCGGTACATGTAAGTTTCTTTCACTTAAATAAAACTGCTAGCTATGGTCTAGAGTTTCAAATGATGACAGGAAAAATTGTTAACAGTTTTCTAAAACTGAATAAGCTAAACATCAAATCATTTCTCTCTCTTTTTTTTCGAAGGAACATTCACCGTAACGACATCAGCAGTATTGAATGCGGTTCATTTTCCACCAACACAAAGCTAAGAGACCTGTAAGTATTACACGACAACAAACAGAGACTAGCATCCGTCTCCGTGACGATATATGGTTGTGAGACGGGAACCAGTCTACGAAAATGTGTAGATGTGTCACATAAGTAAGCTCAATGTAAGCTACATTGCAAGAGTTTATAGAAAATGATTACCCAAAAAATTTAGTCAGATGTGACTAGAAATCAGTTAAATATGAACCATTCGGGGTCAGCTGCGTGCTGAAAAACAGTCAATCTGACTAGATTTTTCTAGTCAGTTTTGAAAAGTAGTTATGCAAATAACTAAAATTGGAGTCAAATTCAACTACCTTTTCTAGACATATAGTATGAAACTTTGCATGTTTAACTAAATTGCTAGTCAGTTTTCAATAACTAGGAACACCAGTCAATATAAAAGTTGTTTTTAGAGATATCGATCGATCGTTGTACTTATTATGAAACCCTTCTATTATTCAGTGTGCATTTTTCTCAAGTTTAGTTGTATTGAAATCTAAGTCGGTTTTTGCTATAGTAGGAGGTGATTCGATCGGGTTTGATGAGGTCACACTTTCTATCGTTCGCACTCTCCGGGGACATATGTAACACTTTCGGATGCGTCCCCGTGTGCGATCGCAGCACACAAGGCGCAAACATTAGCATAGGTGTTCCCGTCACTTCCGCATATTGGGGCGTACTCTAAGGTACACATCAAATCTCCGAGGTTCTTGCAGTATCCAAGGTCCTAAAACAAATATGTCATGTGAAATAAGACTTTCCAAAATTGAAAAGCATTTAGGATTATTTGCATTTTCTCAAAAGTGGCCTACCTAATTATTACAAAACAGCGGCGTAGCTACGGGGGTGGGGGTGTGGGGGATGGGAGGGGCGTAGCCCCCCCCCCCCCGCCAACCGCACCCCCTTGCACCCTCACTCGAAATGTGCAAACCTGAGAAAAGCACAGTCCTATGAGTTACCATGATTGGTGGTAGAACATGAGCTGAATTTGTCCACGATAGTTGTGTATTTTTCACTAAAACCGTGTTTTTCGAGAGTGGTCGTTTATCTGTCGCTATTGTCTGCCATAATTACCATGATTTGAACAGCGCCCCATAGGAAGATAATGTCCAGCCCCCCCCCCCTCCCCCCCCCCCCTCCGCCACCCCAACCCTCTTCGAATGTTTATGGCCAGAAAAAATTAGGTATGTTGGTCATCCCCCATCCCCCACTCGCCAACCTACTGGAAGTATCCATTTGAAACGAAAGTGCAATGGAATAAGTATGCATATATACATTTCTATAAATAGATACTGATTTCCTTATCGTTAATATAGGTTTTCCCGGCCAATTTCACCAAGTTTTCATTTAATTTAACGCCTGGCTCATTCAATTTAGATTGAAATTGAAAGATCACGCAGATCGGCATTCGACAATCAAAAAGAATCATTCAATTTCACTATCCGAGCATTCTATCGCCTTTTAGCTTCACTCGTCCCTATCAAAGATGCATTCCTATTAAAAGTTTTGCGTTGTTCATTCAATTTCGTCTAAACCATTAGTAAGGGGTTGATCGGGCATTCGTTTTCATTAATGGGCAAACATATTTCACATTTTGTCAAACATCTTTTAAGACTTCATAGGCCTACGTGTCCTTAGCGTAAATCAGATTTGATGACTTAAATCCATAGATGCCTTTCTTTCGTAATTGAAGGGTATGTGCAATGACTTTTTCTCAGGAATTATTATTGTGCAACTCTTTACTACTGTGAAATGTAAGAAAACTACACATTTGACAATTTATTTTGGGTTAATCTTGCTGCAAAAGTGCACTTCTTTAAACTTTTTTCCATGCGTTTCCGGACTACGTATGAGCGCGCTGTCACTGTGATGTCATTTCAGGAAGACACTGTTCAGTTTAGGGGATTTTCTTTCAAATTATTCATCCAAAATTTGCTAATTGAAAACATTTGTGGGAAAGGGTTGGTCATTGGCTTACTGCCATGTACTGACACATCATATAATCACCAAATAAAAGAAATTCATGACAGCAAAATATCCAAAATTCTAGCAACTTTTTTTGCTGAAACAGTCGTGTAACATTAATCATGCCCGAAATGCCATCACAGGTTTTCTAATGAATATGAAACTTTGCATTAGCATAAAACGGAGAAGGCACCAAATACACCCCTCAAAATGGAAAATAAAACTTTGCAAACAAGGTTAAATTTGACACAAAGATGTATTTTCAAGGTTTGCATTAAAAACTGACTTTGCATGGGCCCTGTGAATACGGTAAGTGTTCGGCCAGACATACGCAAGAAAACATTTAAGAAATAACGCAAAAGAAGTGTTCCCGATGGTACAACCATTTCCAAACATTAAGTGTCGCCATGTCTTGCACGTCAAGAAATCGTCAACGTAAAGATGCCCCTTGCTCAAACGTTTAAACAAGTCAGAAAAGTTCAACAGTGAAAAAGAAATTATCTTAGTCCCTTTCAATTAATAAATTCGTAACTACATCTTGTTTCCCTCATATCAGTTAATTTGTAACATTGTAAATTTTACAGTCATCGTGATTTTTGGGGGAAAATGAACCTCGGAGAAAAATACGAAAATATATCGATTAAAAAATCTTACTAATTTAAATGACCAAACGATGAAAGCGATTGCCCATAAACGAATAAGAAACGAAAAGCATGGTTATACGTTACAAGCGCACAGATGTTCGCTAATTTGAATGCGTCAACCGTCAAAAGTTTGCAAAGACTTAATTTAAGATTGCTACAAGTTAAGTCTTGAATGCACCAAAACGAAATAGGCTGCCCGAAAATGAATACGAACATTCAGAGCAAAATCTTGGCTGCCTAAAAATGAAATTGAATGAACCCAAAATGATAAAGAAACCCCAATTTGACCACATGTGCAAAACTCACGCGAAATTGAATGGCTGACAATGAAACTGATTAGAAAAATTCGGAAATTCGTTGGGAAAACCTATACAAATGGCGTTTGTCGATATACACACACTGAAAAAAAATGCGTAGGTCAAGTATCCAAGAAAGGTTGGCACTGCAACTACCCAAAATTGGGTCGTTCCAAAAGTTGAAGTCACAACTCTCTAAATTCAAAAGAGTGAAACTAGGGACTATAGACGTTTTAAAGTGAAAATCACTGTCCTTTTCGATTGAAATAGTCTGAAAATGAACCACTTCAGTCGAAGCTCGAGTGAAAGCTCGATCTTTACGATTGAAGAAATTTCACTCTAAAACGTCTAGTCCCTAGTTTCCGACTGTGGGAGTGAATCTTCACTCGAATGGAGTGAATTTTCACTCTTTGGAATTTAGAGACTGGAAGATCACCTTGTATGACCACAAGTTTTGGTTGAATTATCAGAAATTCCAACCCAATTTTTGGTAGTTGCAGTTTTCACTCTTCTTGGGTAAAATTAACCCAGGCAATTTTTCACTGTATGCCAAGTTAAATTGCAAATTCATGCCATTCTATCAAATCTACATCGAATTCGCCTGTTCGGTCCGAAATAAAAAAAAAAAACAACGAACCATCTCGGACAACAAATGATGACAACACGCTAATTTGAAACAAACGAAACAAAATCGAATGCTCTAACTGCGACTTAGAAACCGCAATTCTTTCAACAACTCTCTGAAACCTCACGAATAGAATGAAATTTCTTTTTTAATGAATTAAAAGAAAACGTACTATCAAACCATTTTCACTCACCGTTTGACGTGGAAAGTTTTCTGCAGAACAGACAGCAGAAAGGCCCAAAGCTTTTGAAAAGAAAAATAAAATATAACAGTTTTAATTAAAACAGCATTGACAAAAAATGAATCTTTCATCTTCATAGACAACAGAATAGCGCAAGAAGATTCGCTGAAAGAAAAGATGAATAATGCTATCTTACCCGCAAATACGCTGCACAGTACCAACGCTAACAGACGCATGGTGAGTTCGGTGTAAAACAACAGGAAGAAAGGATAATGTTTCTGGAAATTGTCCTGGTTTCGTCGGATGGTGTTCTAACAATTAGATGAGCTTTGGACCTGGTACAGTGTCTCGCAGCGAGTTCGTTGTCTACTATCTCCAGTAACGCGGGGAAGCTATATAGGCTGCAGATGCCGACGTAAGATATCTATCATCTAATCACCGCTATATACTATATCTCCGCTATATGTAAAAGCGCAAGAAGTGTTGGTCTATGTAATTGTGGACCTTTTTTCACTGGAAAAACAAAACCGAACAATAAGGTTCACGATTGGATGATTTTTTTCGTCCGGTTTGATGACGTCACAGCATTCGGGTGCCTACATCAACGACTGTGGGTGATATCAGCATTTGTGCCACAATCATCAACATTGAGCAATGAGTGATGGATTTGAATAAAACAAGGGGGGAATGATCAATTCAAATAGGCTCCCTAGAATTGATCACGTCATCATTTGGAACCTTGGCATTTTGAATTGTTACTCAGTTTTTTCATCCATTATATCGTTTGGAAAAAAATTCCATTTGTTTTTTATATTTTGTTTAATATATGTATATATATATATATATTTCGTTTTTGAATTCACCTAACTTTGACCTTTCGGTAAACTCTGAAGTAAAGGTCACGCGATTTTACACACACAAACAAAACGGCTTTTGGAAAACATGATCTAACTTTTTTTTTGTAGTGCGGTTCTGGTGCTGCACCTGTGGCCGCTCGAAAATAGAATCAGTATCGAAAGACTTCAATGTGGAGTTTGACGAAGCCATGTCCTTGGAGTCTATGCAACATATGTTTATCTAAAAATAAATGTGTTATGGCTTTTTCTGTCTGCGTGTGCATGATAAATATTCGGCACTATAATGGTTCGTGACTACACCGCACGAAATATTAATTAAGATATGAGAGGAAGATGGGTTAGGCAATTAGTTAAGGTGAAAACAAAATATTAATATTTAATACTTCGTGTAAACAAATATGTAGCCTTCCGAGATGATTCCGTGAAAAGTTATATTTGAGAAAAAACCGCTCCTAAGGCAATACCTCAGCGTCACAAAAAAAAAGAAAACGCTCAATTCAGTTCTAAGGTTATAGATAAACGTATTCTGTCAATTTTTGGCCTTAAATCACTTATAATTCAATATGTAATAACGGACGGTCGTGCTGAAGTCTCAAAAAGCCACAGTCTTGGACAATGGATCATGTTTATGTCAGGCTTGAACCGTTGGAAGAAATTACATTTGTTTGTAATAATTACGCTGTTTTGGTATTTTAAATTTACCTAACTTTGACCGCCTGCAAACTCCGGTAGTAAATGTCAAGCAACTTCACGTACACGACAAAACCGATCATGGAAGCATGGTTGATCAGATCACACAATGTGATATTCTTCCTGTCGCTGTTACCATGGTACTTTGTAGATTTGCCACGCTGGTACGGCAGATAGGTGATGGGATTGTGCCTTTGATGATACAAGCATGGCATTTGGCACACAGCCAGAGTATGTCATGAGAAAGATATCTGGCTATAGGACCATCGCAGACTTGTCCTTTGGAAAAAAATATTGGTAGAATAACAAGCAATGGCAGCCATTTTGAAAATTTTAAAATTGCTTGTTATTCTACCTATGTTTTTTTTTCAAAGGACAAATCTGTGATTGCCCTATAGCCAAACATCTTTCTCATGAGATACTTTGACTGTGTGCTAAATTCCATGCTCGTTTCATCAAAGGCACAATTCCACCAAATACCCCTATCTGCCCCACTATTCAAGTGTTATTAAAAACGACTTCAAATGTGTCTTATTTGTTGAGTAGGTAATTTGCTATTCATAATAACTCTTGGCGGACGACTGCATTGAAGAGTGCATCAGAATTACAAAATACTGATGTTCGATGTAATCGGGACAGTCGAAAAAGAGGACCCATATTTTTTAAAATGACCCATCTTGGGGTCAGGGTTGATATTCATACTAAGTTTCAAGTTTATGCATTGTACCGTTTGAAAGAAAAGATGCGGTGAATTTTGGGGCATAATTCCGATCACCCGATTCGAACAAAGATATATAAGAACGCAAGACAAAACCAAAAGGTAATAGGGGTCAGCCCGATAACAAATTAAATCCAGCGTCTTGCTAACATCTATATTCTCGAGACTCCATGTTCCGTCTGAGGGTACAAGGCGCAGCTCGTTGAATACCAGTACCGGTACTTACAAAAATGTTCTCGAAACAGGACGACCGACTTTTGGAAACACAGAAGAAGAGGGGCATTGAGATTATACAGGGTGAATCGTACACAGATCCTTGCTGAAAATAGTTGTATTAATGAATTGTTCTGTTTGCTTTTTTACAATCATGAATATTAATTGGCATTGATAAATTGTTCTTAAAAGCCAACCAGTCGACCGAATTAGGAAAAGCAAAGAAACTGTTTGAATGTAGGTTAATACTCTATTGGAACTTCGTTGGAGCCTTGGCAAATGTAGACTTTTATGTGGAAGACACGATCTAACTTGTCTGGTGCTGCACTTTTTTTTATAGTGCGGTTCTGGTGCTGCACATGTGGCCGCTCGAAAATAGAATCAGTATCGATAGACTTCAATGTGGAGTTTGACGAAGCCATGTCCTTGGAGTCTATGCAACATATGTTTATCTAAAAATAAATGTGTTATGGCTTTTTCTGTCTGCGTGTGCATGATAAATATTCGGCACTATAATGGTTCGTGACTACACCGTACGAAATATTAATTAAGATATGAGAGGAAAATGGGTTAGGCAATTAGTTAAGGTGAAAACAAAATATTAATATTCAATACTTCGTGTAAACAAATATGTAGCCTTCCGAGATGATTCCGTGAAAAGTTATATTTGAGAAAAAAACCGCTCCTAAGGCAATACCTCAGCGTCACAAAAATAAAGAAGACGCTCAATTCAGTTCTAAGGTTATAGATAAAAGTATTCTGTCAATTTTTGGCCTTAAATCACTTATAATTTAATATGTAATAACGGACGGTCGTGCTGAAGTCTCAAAAAGCCACAGTCTTGGACAATGGATCATGTTTATGTCAGGCTTGAACCGTTGGAAGAAATTGCATTTGTTTGTAATAATTACGCTGTTTTGGTATTTTAAATTTACCTAACTTTGACCGTCTGCTAACCCCGGTAGTTAAAGTCAAGCAACTTCACGTACACGACAAAACCGATCATGGAAGCATGGTTGATCAGATCACACAATGTGATATTCTTCCTGTCGCTGTTACCATGGTACTTTGTAGATGTGCCACGCTGGTACGACAGATAGGTGATAGGATTGTGCCTTTGATGATACAAGCATGGAATTTGGCAAAGTCAGAGTATGTCATGAGAAAGATATCTGGCTATAGGACCATCGCAGACTTGTCCTTTGGAGAAAAAAAAATATAGGTAGAATAACAAGCAATGGCAGCCATTTTGAAAATTTAAAAAATTGCTTGTTATTCTACCTATGTTTTTTTTTTCAAAGGACAAATCTGCGATGGTCCTATAGCCAGACATCTTTCAAATGACATACTCTGACTGTGTGCCAAATTCCATGCTTGTATCATCAAAGGCACAATCCCATCAGCTATCTGTCGTACCAGCGTGGCAAATCTACAAAGTACCATGGTAACAGCGACAGGAAGAATATCACATTGTGTGATCTGATCAACCATGCTTCCATGATCGGTTTTGTCGTGTACGTGAAGTTGCTTGACTTTTACTACCGGGGTTAGCAGACGGTCAAAGTTAGGTAAACTTCGTTGGAGCCTCGGCAAATGTAGCCTTTTTTGTGGAAGACACGATCTAACTTGTCTGGTGCTGCACTTTTTTGTTTGTAGTGAGGTTCTGGTGCTGCACATATGGCCGCTCGAAAATAGAATCAGTATCGATAGACCTCAATGTGGAGTTTGACGAAGCCAAGTCCTTGGAGTCTATGCAACGTATGTTTATCTAAAAATAAACGTTTTATGGCTTTTTCTGTCTGCGTGTGCATGATAAATATTCGGCACTATAATGGTTCGTGACTACACCTTACGAAATATTAATTAAGATATGAGAGGAAAATGGGTTAGGCAATTAGTTAAGGTGAAAACAAAATATTAATATTTAATACTTCGTGTAAACAAATATGTAGCCTTCCGAGATGATCCCGTTAAAAGTTATATTTGAGAAAAAAACCGCTCCTAAGGCAATACCTCAGCGTCACAAAAGATAAAGAAGACGCTCAATTCAGTTCTAAGGTTATAGATAAAAGTATTCTGTCAATTTGTGGCCTTAAATCACTTATAATTTAATATGTAATAACGGACGGTCTTGCTGAAGTCTCAAAAAGCCACAGTCTTGGACAATGGATCATGTTTTTGTGAGGCTTGAACCGTGGGAAGAAATTACATTTGTCTGGAATAATTACGCTGTTTTGGTATTTTAAATTTACCTAACTTTGACCGTCTGCTAACCCCGTTAGTAAAAGTCGAGCAACTTCACGTACACGACAAAACCGATCATGGAAGCATGGTTGATCAGATCACACAATGTGATATTCTTCCTGTCGCTGTTACCTTGGTACTTTGTAGATTTGCCACGCTGGTACGACCTGTGATGGGATTGTGCCTTTGATGATACAAGCATGGCATTTGGCATACAGTCAGAGTATGTCATGAGAAAGATGTCTGGCTAAAGGACCATCGCAGACTTGTCCTTTGGAAAAAAAATATAGGTAGAATAACAAGCAATGGCAGCCATTTTGAAAATTTTAAAAATTGCTTGTTATTCCACCTATGTTTTTTTTTCAAAGGACAAATCTGCGATGGCCCTATAGCCAGATATCTTTCACATGACATACTCTGACTGTGTGCCAAATTCCATGCTCGTATCATCAAAGGCACAATTCCACCAAATACCCCTATCTGCCCCACTATTCAAGTGTTATTAAGAACGACTTCCAATGTGTCTTATTTGTTGAGTAGGTAGTTTGCTATTCATAATAACTCTTGGCGAACGACTGCATTAAAGAGTGCATCAGAATTACAAATACTGATGTTCGATGTAATCGGGACAGGCGAAAAAGAGGACCCATATTTTTAAAATGACCCATCTTGGGGTCAGGGTTGATATTCATACTAAGTTTCAAGTTTATGAATTGTACCGTTTGAAAGAAAAGATGCGGTGAATTTTGCGGCATAATTCCGATCACCTGATTCGAACAAAGATATATAAGAACACAAGACAAAACCAAAAGGTAATAGGGGTCAGCCCGATAACAAATTAAATCCAGCGTCTTGCTAACATCTATATATTCTTGAGACTCCATGTTCCTACTGAGGGTACAAGGCGCAGCTCGTTGAATACTAGTGCCGGTACTTACAAAAATGTTCTCGACCCAGGACGACCGACTTTTGGAAACACAGAAGAAGAGGGGCATTGAGATTATACAGGGTGAATCGTACACAGATCCTTGCTGAAAATAGTTGTATTAATGAATTGTTCTGCTTGC